ATATGGAGGACAGGATATATATATATATATATATATATATATATGTATATATATATGTACAGGTCAGAGTACAAACAGTTTTAAAAGAAGCCGAACTGTTACCTCTTGATCTCGAATGTGATCCATAGCAAAATAGGCCGGCATCCCAACTGCCAGCATTCCCAGGATGATGGCTTCGATGAGGATCAGGGCGTAGGTGGTGGAGTCTGGGAGAAGCTGAAAGAAAAGCAAAAGTTTTACATTTTAATACCACACTGTAAAAAAGACACTGTTCTGCAAATGTCCAACACTCACAAAGTCAAAAGGTTTGGTCCAGGTTCTGATCTGACCCGACCCATTCAGACCTCGTAGCAGAGCGTTGCTCAGGATGTTGACAGTCATTGGTAAAGAGTGGACCGTGGTGCTGTTGAATGCCACGCTGTACCTGAACCCCTGTGTGTAGAAATGAGAGGGTAATTGGGGTGACAGTGAAGGTGACATCATCAGTGTCTGTGACATCATCATCATCTGACAGTGATGAGACCTTGCTGGATCCTGTTACGTTGATGGCGGCGCTGTGTGGAGCTGCAGACATGTAGTCACTGTGTCTCATCATTTCCACCTTGATGTCCTGAGACTCAAGGTGGTGGAGGAAGTCAGAGATGTCGGAGTCTGTGCAGGCATGACAAAGCAGAAAGATCAACAGCTGGTTAAACATGACAAAGCAGAAAGATCTATGGTCACGTGACAACATACAAGTTATAACCTGAACCTAATGGAGCAGAAATAGCAAAATAAAAAAACAATATCATTTAAAACAATACTAAGCAAAAATACCAATGACTGAATTGACAAAAATGTTCTTTTTCTTTTTTTTTTTTTCCTTTTGGCTTTGTCCCTTTTTTTTTCAGGGGTTGCCACAGCAGATCATTGATTTCCATCTCTCCCTGTTCTCTGTATCTTCTACTCTGACTCCAACTATCTGCATGTCCTCCCTCACTGCATCCATATACTGTACCTTCTCTTTGTCTCCTGGTGGCTCCATCTCTAACATTCTTCTACCGATGTATCCACTGTCCCTCCTCTGCACATGTCCAAACCATCTCAATCTGGCTTCTCCGTCTTTTTCTCCAAACCTTCCTGTCTGTGTTGTCCCTCTAATGACCTCATTCCTGATCCTGTCCATTCTTGTCACTCCTAAAGAGAATCTTAGCATCTTTAACTCTGCCACCTCCAGCTCCACCTCCTGTCTTCTGCCTATTGCTACCGTCTCTAAACCATACATCATGGCTGGTCTCACCACCGTCCTGTAAACCTTTCCCTTCACCTTAGCTGACACTCTTCTGTCACAGATCACTCCTGACACTTTTCTCCAGCTGTTCCATCCTGCCTGTACTCTATTCTTCACCTCTCTTCCACAGTCTCCGCTGCTCTGAACAGTTGATCCTAAGTACCTAAACTCCTGCACCTTCACCACCTCTGCTCCTTGTAGCCTCACTATTTCACTGTTCTGCCTTTCGTTTACACACACGTACTCTGTCTTGCTGCGACTGACCTTCATTCCTCTTCTCTCTAGTGCAAACCTCCACCTCTCTAGGTTCTCTTCTAGCTGCTGCCTACTCTCACTACAGATCACAATGTCATCTGCAAACAACATAGTCCATGGGGACTCCTGTCTGACCTCATCTGTCAATCTGTCCATCACCACAGCAAACAAGAAGGGGCTCAGGGCCGATCCTTGATGTAGTCCCACCTCCACTTTGAAGTCTTCTGTCCTCCCAACAGCACACCTCACTACTGTTGTACTATTCTCATACATGTCCTGCACCAAACTACCATACTTCTCTGCCACTCCTGACTTCCTCATACAAAACCACAATTCCTCCCTTGGCACTTTGTCATATGCCTTTTCTAGATCTACAAATACACAATGTAGCTCCTTCTGACCTTCTCTGTACTTCTCCATCAACATCCTCAAGGCAAATATTGCATCTGTGGTACTCTTCCTAGGCATGAAACCATACTGTTGTTCACAAATCTCCACTTCCTGCCTCAACCTAGCTTCAACTACACTTTCCCAAATCTTCATTGTATGGCTCATCAACTTTATCCCTCTGTAGTTGTTACAACTCTGTGCATCACCCTTCTTATGAATTGGCACCAGAACACTTTTCCTCCACTCATCAGGCATCTTGTCAGTCTCTAAAATTCTGTTAAACAAACCAGTCAGGAAATTTATTGACAAAAATGTTAAAGTTAAAAAAAGTCAAAATTTGAAATGTACAAAACTGTGACAACAATGTCTGAATTTATGTCACTAAAGAAATGACAAAAATCTTTGTTCAATGAAGAATGACTGAAATCATCAGTTAATGACAAAGTAGCTGATTTTTATTAACCAGGAGAACTTTACCTTTACAAACTAGAACCTGAGAACTCTCACCTGAGGCGTTCTGGACCAGGAGGCTGGTGGCGTATCTCCGAGGAGCCTCGTTTCTCCTCAGGAGGTAAATGGGGAGGAACTGACGTTGTGGTGCGTGCATCTGGATGTTTCCAGTGGCGTGAGACAGACCCAGCATGGACACCACAAAGACCAGGAACAGGGCCAGACTGTGGAAGAGGACATGGGTTCTGGATCAGATTCTGTGTTTTCTCTGAACTTTCACTCTGGAATTTGCATGGACTCACGTGTAAACAAAAGCCTTCCTCTCTCTGTACATGTTCAACATGTGGAGCCAGGCCACGCTGCTGAACTGCTGCCTCCACAGGGCTTGACCTGACACCAGGTCGGACCGGCTCTGGTCCGAGAAGTTCAGCAGACGCTGGTCTATGTCGTCCACAGATGAGCTGTCGCACTCGTCCTCCGGCTGTTGTCTGCTATTGAACACGCTGTAGTCTGACAAACAACAACAACAACAACAACAACAATGAAGAAAAAGAAGTTTAATGAGGAGGAGTATGAGACAAGTAGAAAGGAAAAGTAACAGTAGAGAGAGAGAGAGAGAGAGAGAAGATGAAGGAAGGGGAGCTGAGAAGGAGAAGAACAAGAAAAAAGAAGAAATTAAGAAACAGAAGACACCGCAGAGGTGAAGGAGGAGGAGCTGAAGAAAGAGGAGGATATGGACAGGAGAAGAGAGTGATTGAACTCACCTGCTTGATCTACTTCATTTTCTGCCTCCAGGCGAAGAAAGACATCCTCTAGTGTTGTCATGGAAACTCCATAGTTGATGACCCCCAGGTCATGTTGGAGGTCGAGCTCTGAGAACAAACCTATAAAGAAAAGGCAACGTGACATTAGTGACCTGTGAGCTGCCTGTTTGAAAGTGTTGTTTGGTCTCAGACCTGGGAAAGCTTCCATGGACTCAAAGGGCACCATGAAGGTCAACTCAGTCTCGTGATGCTGAGACACTTGGACCTTTGGAACATGTCTTTTCACCAGTGACGTGATTTTCTCAGCTTCACACGTCTCACTCACCGACATCCTGCAGAAAAGTCAAAATACTCTCGTCCCTGTGAACTGTCAACATTTCTAAAATGTAATGTCGTTTCCTATGAGACAGCGCCTCCTTTTTATTTAAGGTATAAAGGGTTTGTGGGTTTTTATTTATGTTTTTATATAAAACACAAACATCAGGAGGTGAAAGTGTGCTCACCTGAGATGATATCCAACACCACACTTGGTCTTCAAAAACATGGAGGAGCCCACACATTTCAGCCGACCCTGAGAAATCACTGCTTTACGATCTGTAAGGAAACAAAAACGTTTTTGAACACCTGTGTTGATCTAACCTAGGGAAGCTAACCCGGGTTAGTTAAGCTGGGTTAGAAAATAGTCACTAATGTCTAAGTGTCACTGTCTGTGTCAGTGTAGGTGTCAGGTGGAGTCACACCAGCCAGGATGTCGGCCTCGTCCATGTAGTGCGTGCTGAGGACGATCACTCTTCCTGCTCTAAGGCTCCTCAGCAGCGTCCACACCTGGTGTCTGGTGCACAGGTCCATACCAGCTGTGGGCTCGTCCAGGAGCAGGATCTAGAACCCGACACGTTCAGGATGAGAAGTATGAAGCAGCACAAATGAAACATGGTGAAATAACGTGGGACGTGGTCAGACCTTAGGGTCTCCAAGAATGGCGATGCCCACAGAGAGCTTCCTCTTCTGTCCTGCACTCAGATTCTTAGCCTGGGCCGTCTTGATCTTCTCCAGGTCCAAGTCCTTCAGCACTCTGGTGACCTATTCATGACAAACCATAAACATCTGGACTAAAGAGGATTTTCTCTGAGGAATTCCCTTTGAAACCCGGGGACTATTCTCACGTACCTCTGCGTCAGTATCGGTCGGACGGATTCCTTTGATGGCGGCAAAGATCCTCAGATGTTCCTCCACCGTCAGGACGTCAAAGATGATGTTGAACTGCGGACAGATTCCCACCAGCTGCTTCATTTCAGGACCGTCTGCCATCTCTGCCACAGACGAGCCAAAGATGGAGGCCGAGCCGCTGCTGGGCGGACAGATGCCACACAGGATGTTCATGAGAGTGGACTTCCCTGCACCGCTGTGTCCCAGCAGAGCCGTGATCTGACCTTCATAGATGTCAAATGTCAAACCTGTCGGGGGAGGATGTTTAGCCAAAAAGGCTCTCGTTAGCCAAACATTCGAGGCCAAACCATGGTAGAGCACACACATTCAACACAAAAATATTGACATTCGTTCCAACAAAGAGAACAGAGCTACTACTATATAGTAATAAGTTTGTGATAAAGCAGGGGAGACGGGAGATGACGGTTTTGACTCACCCCTCAGAGACTCCACCACCACGTTGTCCTTTTCTCTGTACGTTTTCTGGATATTCTGGATGCTGCAGATGTTGAATCAAGGATGGAACAAAGAACAAAGAGAGAAGTGTTCAAGATGTGAGCATCATCATCATCATCATCATCAGCCAATCACTCTTTCACCCAGTCCGTCAGGCCTCCAGACTATAAATGTAAACACTTGATTTTTTACCGTATCGCCTCCTTTCCTCTGAACTCAGGTGAAACCGGCTCCACACAGGCGTCTCCTCCTGACGCTCCTCCACCGTTCACCTCTGCGTCGTACACCGAGCTCACTTCCACATAGCGCTTTGTCCGTTTGGACCAATAGGACGGTTTCAGGAAGTAGACCAAAGACCGTCTCATTCCAAACTCACCTGCAGATGGAGTATTGGTTTTTTAGAAATTCAAGCAAAGCTGAGGTCAAAGTTCATAGTTTGTTAAACAAAAAAGCAGTAATCAAGGAGGGCAATAACCCAGGTTTAACCGTCGGACTGACCGGGCAGCACCTGTTCCAGATAAACGGCCAGCAGCAAATAGAGGACACAGTCCAGGAGCAGCATGAGCAGAGGCGCATACAGAGGATGAGGACCACTGGTCAGGGTGGAGAATACTGCACCGTCTCCCTGAGCCTCCAGGTACACCACCTTTCCAAGAAGGACACAAACAACAGCAAGTCTCAGCACGGAGCTACCAGCCGTTGGACCACACACACAGTCAGGACTAGTCTAGTGACCTGGGCGATGCCCATGGAGAAGGCGGTAGGAGACAGCAGACAGAGGAGCCAGACCAGGGGTTGAGGGAAGTCCGTCATCAGCACGGTGAAGAGAGACAGGCAGCCAAACACCACGGTCAGCAGGGAGCCCACGGTGCTGGCAAACTTGGGTTTTTTAAATAATGGAGTCAGCATAAAGGAGAAGAAGATCTGAAGGAGAGACAGAGCAGAGAAGGACAGTGAGAAGACAGACCAGGATTGTCTTCTTGTTCTTGGCGTCCATAACAGAGCTGCACTCACTGATGATATTCCATAGAGGAAGATGAGGAAGAAAATAACAAAGAAGTCACTGTTAGGGAAGAGAGCAGTGTAGGTGGCGATGATGGACATCAGGACAGACATGGCTGTGACCAGAGCGGCGTAGAGAAGACCCCAGGACAACCTGTGGGTTGAGGGGGAAACCACATCAATGCTTCAATTCTTCCACAACGTCTCAAACGCTTCTTCTGCTTCCTGTTTTTACCAGAAGGAGGTGTCGTAGAGTCCCATCATTGTCATGGTGTCTTTGAGACGTTGCTCCTTCTCCGCTGCCACGTTGACGATGAGGAAGGTGACGAAGGGCGTGAAGGCCAAGACCATGTAAATGGAGATGAGAGCGTGGGAGAACTTTTGCACCTCCACAAACGCAGACTGACCCATCATCACCACGTCCAGGTTCATCTCACTACGCACCGCACGCTTGGTCTGCATCTGAGCACCACAGACAAGAGAATGTTGTGACATCACTTCCTGTTCCACTGCATCGTTGGGCTTCAAACTTCACTTTAAAAGACTAATTCAAGGTCCACCTAAAAAAATTATAAATTTACAAAATGTTCCAGCACTAGCCATGATAACACTAAGGTATCATGGCTAATTGTAAGCTAGCTGTTTTTTTAAAACACAATTTAGTATTTTTAGCTAACTTTCCACTTTTTTGGTATTTTTTTTGGTTAATATTGGTCAAAACCCCAAAACAAAAAGTCTTTTGGCATTTTAAGTGGAATACATTTGCAAACTGCATTTTTAGCTTTTTTAACCAACCGCCTGAACTGCTACTGTCCTCACCTGGATGATGGAGGCATCTATCATAGACTGTAGCCGAATGAAGCCAGAGTACCAGTAATTTGCTGCTCTGCAGTTGACTGAGTTGCTCAAACAGTCAGCTGAAGGAAAACAAACACAACGATAGTCAACAAATGGGGAGACCAGACGGATTAAAGGCAGTAAAACCAGATACTTCGTACCAAAAGACTCTATGTAATCACTGGGCTGAGGCAGCCGGTGGTAGGGGAATCGCAGCCTGTAGGACATGGCAGAGCTGTCAGTAAACACAACTCCAACAAAGCTTGATGGCTCGTACAGGCTGGCATTCTCCAGATCCTCCTCACTGGCAAACATCTCCAGACGGTCCTGCATATCTGAAAACACAAAGCACAGAGTTCTGTAAGTGTTGTACAATGAAAACGTATTACGTATTTATGTATGTATGTAGGTACGTAAGTGTTGTCTTTGATCCCTAACTCATGTTGAGTTGAGTGGGTTTTTAACATGCAACTCACGCATTTCCTGGGCCACCTCCTCCATGATGTGGCTGGTGATGTTAGTGATGGGTGTGTAGCCCAGACCTTTAATAGAGTGCTCCTCCTCCTCCAGCTCTTTTGTGCTGATCCCTTCATAATGAACGTGAGGGTTCAACTTACTGATGAATATCAGAAGACTCAGCAGGAGCAGTGGTAAGAAAACCTCCTGTGGAGACACGGCTGTTGAGATGACAGACCATACACTGACATGAAGTCTTGAACTCAGAAACACCTGAACACACCTGGGAACTCTGCTGTTTGGTCCTCCATTTGATCAGCAGGTTCTTGTAGAGCAGACTCCTGGTTTGGTGCCACACACCAGCATCCCTGCTGTTTGTGGGCATCGTGGTTCGTGTGACTCCACTCATCTGTATGACTTGTGGATGAGTCTCCCTGACGACACTGGCCTCAGCTGTCAGTCACAGGCCATTTTAAGTGATTTAAAAGTCACACCCTGCTCAGCTGTTTTTGTGTCAGCCAGCTCCAAAAGATATGAATAACTTGTTTTGTTGACGTTTCCACGTTAGCCAGAAGAGAATTCTCTAATCAATCCTTGAACATTTTACCATTTAATCCGTAAGGCTGTAGGTTCTGTTTTTACAAAATCATTCTCCAAAACCGTCAAAGATGAATGTATTTATAACCAATTTACGTACAAATAAATACGTCAAAATGATAAATCATTCTACTTAAAAAATTACACAGTGACGCTTTGCACATTTTAATATTTTTGTCTAAAGTCTAAATAAATGCATTTCAATTTGATACCATCTATAGTTTTTTATTGTGTTAAGCTAATGTAATGTTAAACGAAGCTTATCTGTAGATAACGTGTGTTATGTCGCAATTCCCCGAAAAAGATTATCAATATAAAACATAAAACTATTTTTATTCATTAAAACAATAACTGAACCATAATTCTGCTTGAGAGCGAACAAAGCGCCGGACCTTCATCCAATGCTAACAGGTTGCTGCTAGCCTTGCTAACAATCTTCAAATATAAATGTCATAACAACAAACAGTTGAACACTCACGTATAAAATACATCAAGATATTTCCTCATGGGTGTGACGTCAGAAACATCCTTAGTTAAATAGGTATCTCTCCAAGAAGTTAGCTGGAAGGCTAACACCGCTACTTCCTGCTGTCACACAAAACAACGAGTTTGACCAATCAGCGGCCAATACCACTTCATTCTTTTCTCCGACTATACCTAAATTAGGTGCACGCCCTCTGCTGGCAAAGGCCCTCAACTACACCGCGTATTACTAAACAGCTAAACTTAAAAAATCCAATGCTTAAAATATTATTTTTAGAGACACCAAGGGACAAGAGACTTCACACAATGTTTATTTTACATTCAAATATCAACAACAAAGTTAAGGCATGTGCAGTGATCTGTGCAAAAATATTGAAAAAACTGGAACAACAAAAGAGAAATGGGAAAGTCAGAGGACATGGATGTGCTTGTGTGTAGTGTTGAATTCTAGAATTCTCTGACTAACAAACAGCAATGCTGGAAAGGAGTAGGAAGCTTGTGGAATGTCTTTAAACTGAAGGAAGGTGTGAAGTTGTTGGGGTACAGGAAGCTGCTGGACCACATCACCCGTCATCAGCAGATCTGGTCCCAGCAAATTCCGCAGGTTCAGACGGCAGAGATGAGACAGACTGGGAATGTTTTCTACAAAACAAAAAGAATAAAGGTTAGAGAAGGAAATGTATGTGAGACAGACCTAAACCTTTGTTGTTTACTTACCTGAATCTGGATGTGGTTTCCAGGTCTTTTCCGCTCGTCTTTGATCCAGAATGTGTTTGAATGGTGCAGGCAGAGTTGACCAGTTTACAAACTCCAGCAGATAATTCAACACTTCACCGTCCACCTTGTCCAACCTATAAAAAGCAAAGTAGAGAGAGATGATCAAGAGTTGTTAAGTGACATACTGGACATGAATATTCATATTACAGGAGGAGGATTTAGACGTCGTTCCTCACATCTGGCTATGAAGGAGCAAAGACGGTTCCAGTCCTGCCTTCAGGAGTAGAGGAAGCCAGCAGGCCACAAAACGAACCTGGTTCAGGGCAACACACAGCATTGCCCTCACTTCCTGCAGCTTCAGTGCAGTTTTGTCATTCCGACGTGGAGCAGGAGAGGAGTCCTGCGTCAAAGTCTTTGGTGAAGGGATCCATCTGTGCTGCAGAATCAGCTCTAGAAGCTCTGTTTTTTCTGTGGCCAAGACAGAGAGCCAGGCATCCTCACATATGGTCGCTCCAGCCGCCACCAGCAACCTCACACACTCACTGAAAGAGTCAAACCAACAACTTCACACACTCACTGAAAGACAATGAATCAACAACCTCAAAAGGTTGAAACTAGTTACAATACACATTCAATAATCCACTGCTGAAGTAACCAGTAACTAGAGATAATATGTGGAAAGGTTTGATCCAAACACCTTATTAAAGGTTTTCAAACCAGCAACATTAAAGAATTGGACTGAAGAAGAGACATGGAAATTCCTCGAGCAAAGACTAGCTGGGACTGAAAACTACCTCATGAACGCACACGTGTTTAGGTGTGTTAACTTACACACCTGTATGGTACGGTGGTGGACGTGGACAGAGCGAAGGCGAGCGGTGAACTCATGTCCAACTGACTGCAGTCCTGAGCATCTGGACTGAATCCTTCCTTTAACAGTAGCTCAACACTCTGGCTCTTCCCACCGTAAATGGCCAAATACAGGGGACTCACTGTGTCGTCTTCATGGTCACAGGCACGATCGGTGACAGGAATCAGGCTCCGGAGGACTCTACATGTGAGGACATAATGAATCAGATGATTAGCCTTCGACCTGATGACCTGCTCAATCATGGATCAATACAGAAGAAACCTAAGTCAGTACTCAATATGGCCGAACTCTGCAGCAGCGTGGATGGGAAGCTGCGGCCACTCATTACTGCAGTTCTTGTTGGGATCTGCCCCGTGGTTCAACAACAGGTCCACACACTCATGGTGACCCTCCTGAGAAGCAATCAGGAGGGGTGTGGCCAAGTCTCCCACCTGCACATTCACATTGGCACCTAAGGTCAAAACGAAACAAGGACCAATCACTTAACTTGACCACACGAGGCAGCAGTGCATCAACAGTTCCTGTGTTTTTCTGGGATAAACTGTTGATTTTCTCCATGGAAAAGTGAGCGGTTTTTAAAAGCTTACACTAAGACAAAGTAGTGGACATGCTTTTAGAGAAGATAGACATGAGCTGATATCACCATTATTCTCTAAAGAAAAAATTACCAGCATCGATGAGAATCCGCAGACACTGCACTCGTCCGTACTGAGCAGCCACAAACAGAGGAGTGATCTTCAGGTCATCTGGAGCTTCAACGTTACAAACCTTGACCAGCTGCTGCACTATGTCACAGTCCCCCTGACAGAGTAAAGGATTTGGGTCACATAGTGTAAATGACTGAGGATACGCTGAAAACTTCTGTCTTTTACACCTTATAAACAGCTTGATGGAGGCAGGTCCAGCAGGACTCAGTGTGTGACCTGTTGACCTCTGCACCTTCACCTAAAAGGAAATTCACAACATCTCTGTGTCCTCCATCCACAGCTGTGAAAAAAACAGTTTGATCAGAGAGGTCACAGAGGTCACAGAGGACAGAGACAATGAGGTGAGGTTCAGGTCTTGTACCTGCAAACAGAGAACAGGAAGTGTCGTTGGTCTGTTTGTTGATGTCAGCACCAGCCTTTAGAAGGAGACGCACCACAGACACGTGTCCACGCTGTGCAGCCAGGAAACATGCTGTTTCGCCCTCATGGGTTTGGAAGTTGACAAAGTCATGACTGCTCTGCCCTGAGCTTCTGACTGAAAAACAAAGTTTGTCAACAAAGCTTATTCACTCATTCATCTCCCGCTCAATGTTTTTCAGGATCACGGAAAAAGCTGGAGCCACACCCGGCAGCAAAGGGGCGAGGGTGGGGTCATACCCTGGTCAGTTTACTAATCCACAGCAGGGACAAATACAGACACAAAAGTTTACATAAAAATGTTACTTTAACATTTTTGGCCAATTAGGAGAATCCAAATAACCTGGGATTTTGTACTTGGATGAAGCTGGAGTTCCTGGGGAAAACCCACTGAGACACAGGAAGAACATGAGAACTAGCTCTGGAACAACTGACTGTGACGTGTTGTTTAAACTTTAACCAATGACTGAGTGATTCTGACAAAAAAGCGGTGGTTTCTTACCGACAGTAGACAAAATGTCTTGCACACAGCGAGCACTTCCAGCAGCTGCAGCCTCGTGCAGGGGGGTCCAGCCTCTGTTGTCTCGACAGTCCAGGCTGCAGCCTCTTAGGATCAGCTTCCTGAGGCTCCTCCTGTCCCCCGATCGTGCAGCCGCAGCCACTCTGGACACGGTGTCTGAGTAACACTCAGTGAAGTCCATGTTCCCCTGGGCCTTTGAATCGGAAGAATTTATTTAGACATTTACAGTAAAAAGGGAAAAACGTAGGGCAGAAATTAAATACATTTCCATTCAAAACACATGTAAAATGTTTAATCTAACAATCCTCCGTTTAAAAAGAAAAGCTTAATTTGAAGGCTGCACTTTTTTGCTTGTGTCAATTCAAAACATTAATACAAACATTTTATACTTCACAAACTTATACAATTCTCGATATTGTGACTCTATCAGTGTTCTATCAAAAATACGTTATTTGATTATTTGTGCGGTGAAATAACAGAAGTGAGTATCGATCAGTAAGTAACGATCAACGAAAAACTTTGTTCAGAATTCAACAACCGACATTTTAAAAGAAAAATACACACAATTGCAGGTTTTTAATCCAAACTAGTCGTAGCTTTAATCGGAGTAAATATTTTCTCACCTTATTGAGTCGCAGCCCAAAGTCGCTGTTTGATGACGTCACGATTACTCACCCGTCATAGCGACTGCTAATTCTGATTTGGAATTTTATTAAAATCATTTAATATTAACGTAAAACAGACAGACGTACAACATAGCAAATAATCTTAAAGCTGCCATTAAAGCTAATTAAAGCATTTAAACAGCAATAAAATAGTTTGAACAAAATTAATTTTGACCAAATGAAGAAGAGTACAAAGTTTTAATCATATTTATAATATGTTTTATTACCAAGTATTGGTAAATAACAGCTAATAGCATTTGTGGTTAGTTTAGAATAACACACATAACACAGTAACAAAACAGCTGATGTTAGCTGAATAATTTGAAAAAAAAAAACTTAAGCAAAAGAGAAAAATTGCATAGATAATTTTAGTGCAGTATAAAACAATGCCATAATTTGACAAACTGTAAACTAACAATAAACTTTAGTCAAAAGTTATAGGACTAGTTACTGACACTTCTTTATTCTTGTAGAACAGAGGAATCAACATTTAAAGGCCAAAGGTACAGAATGGAACTTTATCCTGTGAAGGCTAACATCAAAACATCGGACAACTGGGTATGTACTGTTCAAAGCACTGCTAACAATAACAACAAAAGGAGAAGAGAAGATTATAGGACATGGACATGCTCGTGTGAAAGATTTCCTCGCCTCATGGGGTTAATCCTTGGTGATTGTGGGAAAGGGAAGGAGGCTTCACTGATGTCCTTAAACTGAAGGAAGTGGTGAAGTGGTCGGGGTACAGGAAGCTGCTGGACCACATCACCCGTCATCAGCAGATCTGGTCCCAGTATTGTCCGCAGCTGCAGACGGCAGAGATGAGACAGACTGGGAACATGCTCTGTAAGAGAACAACGCCGATTATTGTGTAGCAGTTAGGGGTAAATGTTAGAAATCAAATCTGAAACTCTGACTGGAGCCAATGTACCAAAATGTGGATGCGGTTGCCAGGACTTTTCTTCTCGTCTTTGATCCAGAATTTGTTTCAGAGCTGTGGACAACGTTGACCAGTTAACAAACTCCAGCAGATAATTCAGAGCCTCGCCGTCTGCTTTGTCAAGTCTAGATGAAGTGAAGACAACCCAGAGAGTCAAATAATTCTGGCACAGATGTGAACAGCACTGTGGTGGTTCTCACATGCAGCTGTGCAGCAGGAGAGACGGTTCCAGTCCTGCCTTCAGGAGTAGAGGAAGCCAACAGGCCACAAAACGAACCTGGTTCAGGGCAACACACAGCATTGCCCTCACTTCCTGCAGCTTCAGTGCAGTTTTGTCATTCCGACGTGGAGCAGGAGAGGAGTCCTGCGTCAAAGTCTTTGGTGAAGGGATCCATCTGTGCTGCAGAATCAGCTCTAGAAGCTCTGTTTTTTCTGTGGCCAAGACAGAGAGCCAGGCATCCTCACATATGGTCGCTCCAGCCGCCACCAGCAACCTCACACACTCACTGAAAGAGTCAAACCAACAACCTCAACATATTTAAACCAGCAACCTCACACTCACTGAAAGATTCAAACAAACAACCTACTTCACACACACTAATATTAAATATACATTGCTTTTTATCATTAGAGAACCACTAAAAGAGACTGGAAGACTATGTGCATTTCCTGATATTTACACCTCACCTTACAGATAAACTCAATGTAAATTAAACCTGAACCCTGACCAAATTAGTAAAATTGTTATAAATCAGCTGCATCCCAGACTCTGTGGTGAAGATTTGAACCAGCAACCTATTAAACGTTCAATAAAGAACTTGATTTTAACCGAACACTACACAAAAAGAACTCTAACTCAGTGACCTCATGTTGGTGCACTCGGACAGTGCAAAAGCGAGGGGTGAATTCATTTCCAGATCAGTGAGGCGCTGAGCGTCTGGGCTGAAACCTTCCTTTAACAGAAGCTCCACGGACGCACTCTGATCATTGTAAATGGCGATGTACAGTGGACTCTCCATGTCCTCACCACGGTCGCAGGCACGATCGGTGACAGAGATCAGGCTCTTGAGGACTCTGCAAGTAAAAAAAAGCATCAAATCATTACCCTCTGTCATGATCCTATGACATTTTTTAATATTGGCTGATTAATGAGTCAGTACTGAATGTGGCCAAACTCAGAGGCAGTATGAATAGGAAGTCGGAGCGATTCAGAATCGCAGACCATATTAGGATCTGCACCGTGGGCCAACAGCAGATCCACACACTGATGGTGATCTTCCTGAGTTGCAATGAAGAGGGGTGTGGCCATGCTATTCACTTGAACGTTCACATTTGCACCTACAGTCAAAAAAACCAAAAGTGAATACTAGCACATGAGTGACAGAGAATTAGACTACAGAATGTGAAAGAATTCTTTCCATCAACATTTTATTTAGAAAATCTAGGTAAAGCAGTAAAGTCATATTATTTTGTAATATTTTTGTACAATTTAAAAAAGAAACAGTTCACATATCTGAAAAGAGCCAGCAGTGAATACCATACAAAATTAAAGATCCACAGACAGAGAAACTATTCTCCAAAATATGAAGTAATATGCAATATCCAAGCAGCTTTGATTTTCTTTTGTTGTTAAGTAATCCCAATAAAGATTTTAGTGAAAAATATTGTTGGTTTTAGCTGATGCAGATTACCAGCATTAATGAGGATCTGCAGGCACTCCACTTGTCCATAATGAGCAGCCACATACAAAGGAGTAATCTCCATGGTGGATGAAGCCTCCACGTCACAAAGGTTAACCAGCAGCCGAACAATGTCACTGTGACCCTTAGAGTGTAAAGGTCAGAAGTTATACACATCTCAGAACAATGTGTGAGCCATTTATGATGATATAAACTGCAAGCTGTCATCCTCATAATGTCCTGCTGTTCTTTCCCTCTGTCCTGCCACTCAGTATAGACCTACAGAGAAATATGTTTGAATGTGTATCATACCTTGTAAACTGCCTGGTGCAGGCAGGTCCGGCAGGACCTTGTGTGTCTCCCCTTAAGTTCTGCATCTTTATCAATGAGCAGTTTGACAGCATCCATGTGTCCTTCATCTACAGCTGTGAGAACACGGATGCAAATCCAAGTCAGTCGTATGGGTTGGGAGATTTAAAGAAGAATTCAATATATGTGTGTACCTGCAAACAAAGGACAGGAACCATCTTTTGTCTGCAGGTTAATGTTGGCACATGCATTCAGGAGGAGGCGGAGCACATCCACGTGACCACGCTGTGCAGCCAGGAAACATGCTGATTCACCTTTATTAGTAATGGAATTGACGTAGTCACGGCGGCGTTGCAATGAACTGTTGCCTGAAATGATCACAGCTTTTTATAAAACCTGGTTCTGTAAAGGGTCAAACACTTTTATCAAATCAGTGTTGTTTCATAATGGTTGAATGTTGTCAGTAATCTGACATTTGACAATAACAAATGCATGAAAGTGTAGTGTTTCTCACAGACAGCTGATAAAATTTCTTGCACACACTGTGCATGTCCCGCAGCTGCAGCCTCATGCAGAGGAGTCCAACCTCTACTGTCCCTACAGTGCAAACTGCAGCCTCTGAGGATCATTTTCCTGAGGCACTTCCTGTTGCCTGAACGTGCTGCTTCAATCATTTCGGACATCATGTCTGCTGTCTTCACCTGCACCGCAAAACACTGATTTAATTTAAATTTGAGTTTAGGACAACACAATGACACCTCTTCATGAAAAGGTCAGAATTTCAGTCTGTCCCACTTTTTGAATGTATTTAAACAAAATAAGAATACAAAACTGCCGATAATTGATGATAATAATTGATGATGCAGATTTAAAATAAATGAGATTGTTTGGTAATATGTCATTATGTTTTATGACTCAAAAATTGCAAAACTATTGTATGTAAAACTTGTAAAAGGTTTATTCAAAAATAATTGGCATTTAAAGACAATCGTGAAAAACGTAATAATAATAAACAAATGTGCTTTGGTCAAGATCATTAATGGAATTCTGTTTCTTAAAAGGAATGTTATTTTACAACAGAGAAACATGACAACCATCCCAAAATGACGTTGTATTTTTACAGTTTGAGCATGTTTTAATGTTTATTTACCTTTTCACTGCCGATCCGCGTAGCCATCTTGGACAGCAAAAAACGGCAAATCCAATTGGACAAACTTCATTATTTTAGTGACGAGTGGTTTTTCGCATGCGCAAAAGCGAAGACTTACCACAAAACAGAACGAGTGATTATATATCGTTGTTGTCAATAACAAGCAATAAATGTATTTAAACCAATCAAAAAAAATTAAGGATACCTCTGACATGATCAGTAAATTACGTTTTAATAAACAATTGTTCGAGAAACTGGAAGTCGCTGTTTAATGACGTCAATCGACAATATCGCGTCATCTGCGCTGCGACATTGCTGTTTCTGTTGCCATTACAATCAATGATTTTCTTTCGGAATTAGTCCATTATTTTCTTAATAGATGGTCTTTCATAATTGTAATTGATTTATTCAAATGATAAAAGGAGAGGTTTTAATCGGAAGAAATCGTAATCGTGAAGACAATGTAAATAACTACGGCAGAAACGCAGGACGTAAACGAAATAACAATCACTTCAGCTGAAGTTACATTAAGGTATGTATGGGCTAGTTTAATGATAGTTTTGTCATTACTGTCATTACATGTATTAAACAACATAAATGTTGCAATGAAAATACGTTAAAATATATTTTCACTACTAATAATTCACTGTTTTTGTTTAGCTTTTTTTAATTTAAGGGTATTGCATGACTAACGGAATAACAATTTCATAACTTTGGACTAGTGAATGTAGAATTTACTAAAGATTAAAATGACTTTGACACAAAAGCTTTCCAGAACCTTCTGTATTAACATGGTAAAATGGATTTATACACATAGTTTGGGTCCCTTTAATCACAGTTTTCAAGTCACTTTTCTTGTCCTTAAACTTTTAGTTTCTTGACTTGTTCTGTGTTGTTGGTGTTCACTAGTCTCGTGCTTCCTGTTCGGACACCAGGAGCATCATGGTGGACATCTCAGTGAAAAGTGGAGCCGCATGGGAAGTCTCTGCTCGGGAACGCCACCTGGGTGACGTTCTGCTTTCTGTGCACATGGGAGATGAAGAAGATGAAGTCAATAAAGCAAAGCTGTGTCAGGCAAAGGGAGGGGAGACAGACAGGTAGAACGTGACATGTCCTACAGTGATTTGAAAACGACTGCAGGATTTCAATATCAATACATGTGTTTTCCAGATGTGACCCAGTTCTGCTGCAGAAGACACAGGAAGACTCTCCCTGTGTCTTGACACTGTCCTGCAGCCTCGGTTCCTCTAACCTCATTGGTCGCCTGCTGGTTGTCAGTGAGGCTCGAACAGCGGAGGTATACAACCAATCAGGAGATTACTGTGGGACGGCACGCGGACAAAGGGACAACAGTGTTCATACAGACAGGTAGTCAGTCCCATTGGATTTGTTGACGACATTAGTGAAATATTAGATGATGGGTTCTCAGGCATTACGTTTGCTTCTATGACATGTTAAAGCAGATCCTGTTTTCTTCACACAGTGAAGACAGAGGGCCTTTTTATAGGAAAGAGCTGAACCTGGATCAGCCCTGTGCTGGCTGCGAAGTCAAGGTGAGGGTCAGTGTTATCGTCACAGGTCCAAGTTAAGGGTTCTGTCAGTGACCTCAGCTGCTTCTCACATTTCCTCTCAGCTTCTCTCCCTGGGAGGTAGAAATAGTGTGATGGTGGGTCGAATCGTGGTAGGTCTGAGGCAACTTCAGCCCAGCCCACCACGTGGCCCAGGAATCGACATGCAGGCAGTGCAGTTTCTGGTGGAAGAGATAGGAACCAGCCTCTCACCTGGAGCTCAGGACCTCATGGACATGGTCCACATTCAGCAGAAGGTGAGCACAGAGCAGCAGAAACACTCACTGCAGTTTGGTCTAAATTTGACACAGACCTGTTGGTGATTCCTTCCAGAACCAGAACAGCTCTCTGGCCGGGTTCCTGCCACTTCTGATGAGCAGTGGAGCGTTATCTGCTTTCAGTCCTGCGGCTGCCCGAAACCAGAGCCAGTCTGCAGAATCATCGGTACCAATTGTTATGTTCAGACTTTGAGGTAAAATATATAGAGAGTTTAGCAGGTGAAATCCTGGTTTTCTTTTTTTAACTCAGCCACCTCTGGAGTTCAGCCCGGCTGATGAAATGTTGTCGACTGATAACGCAGCAATGTCCAGAAGCTCAACCTCTTCGCCTTCGTCTTCTCCAGGATCTGTTACACTGTCAGACTTAAACACTGACAACACAGGTGAGGCCCAAAACTAGATGATCAAACTTTGGGTGTTTTTCTCTGTACTCCATTACTTTACTCTGTTACTATTTTGTTTTTATTGGCAGAACCTTGTGCAGTTAGTCTCAGAGTCTGCAGTTTTTTCAAGGTCTAGATGCAGCAAAGAAAAACTAGGAAAGATAAACTGAACAAACACCTGTAAAACAGTTCTGTTGTTTCTCCACCTGCAGACAACAGCCGTCACATAAACCATACCCACTTAGCAGAAATTATGTCACACTTCCTGAAGTCCGACCAGAGACACACACTCAGCTCCAACGTGGAGCTCCTGCCAATTCTCCAGAACATCTGTGGTCAGGTGACGCAGCTGAGACTGGACAACGCTGCAGCCACTGTGGAGAGAGGCGAGACGATGAGAAACGGTTCATGGTGAGAAACCCCAACGTGTTCACAAAAACAATTCTTTGTGCAACATTTTTGTAACAAACATTTCTGTGCTTTCATGATAAGTTTAGTCAAACAAAATTCAACAGGAAAAAATGCTGGCTCAATGCTGCCTCTTGTGGTCAGTTTCCATGACAGATAGAACTCTCAAGAAAGAAATATAAATAAGCCACTCTGAATAGAACACAGCAGAATCTCCTGACGCACACACACATGCGCGTGCGCACACACACCGCCCTCTGAGGTCTCTTCATTGTTTGGTTTCATAAAAGAGCTTCTTGTTCAGCGTCAGCTGACTTTGACTCATCGTCCACCAGAGGGCTGCAGCTCAGCTCAGTGGTATGTATGCCACACACACATTCATTTTTAAATTTGTAAAAAAACAAAACAAAAAAAACTTTAGCTGTGGGAAATGTTTAGAACATAGTAGGTGGAACTGTTTAAAAGAAATAGAACATAGTAGGTGGAACTGTTTAAATGATTGTTGTGTCAGTTGTGAAGATGAAGCTTTTTCCCATAAACAGAAAACTCATTTTTCATACTTTTCACCGTCACTCAAGAGTGATAGGAAAGAAAACTTGTCTGTTTGCTTGCTACAGTGCTTCTTGGGATATTGAGGTAGCTGCTACATGACTGCATCCCTTAATGTTTACAGTAGTGATGAATGGAGTCACAGCGTTAACATGAGGCCATGCTGCCTCATAAAAGACAAGACTCAGTCAATGAGGGAGAAAACTGCCGAGGTCGGGATGTTTTTCTTTCCTCAAACTGCAGCTGCAGTGGGATCATGACAGCGGTTCGAAGAACAAATAAATATTCAGGAAACTTCTGAGTACCCGCAGCAGAAAATAAGGCAAACTGAAGAGGAAAATGTTTGAGGAGCAGGAAAAAGAAGAAAGATGGTGGTTCAGAAGTTCTCCTGCAGGTGTACTCTCCCTGCTCCTGCAGTTCTCCTGCAGGTGTACTCTCCCTGCAGTACTCTCCTGTCTCGTCAACAAGTTTGAACTGTCCCTTTAATGTCCTCTTCCCCCTCCACAGGGAGTTGGACACAGCCATGGAACGCCGCCTTGAGGAGATGGAGCGCAGGCTGAAGGATCACATGGACCGTCGCCTGGATGCTCTGGAGCAGAAACTGGAGAGGGCGCTGATGAGTGCTCTACCACTGCTTACCACCAATGGTGTAGGAATTGCACCAACTGCACAAATTCCTGCCAGTGATGTTGCAAATGGCTAAAAAGGGGAGAATGCCACAGTTAACCAGAAGGTGGTAGGGCTTCAAATATTTCTACTGTTAACAGTAGAGAAGTTCAAGACCCTAAAAAAAAACTACAGTTTAGTATAATACATATACATAACCTATGGGCGGCACTGTTTCAGATACTGACCCATCAACACAAGAGGCACAGACAAAAAAAAAGTGTTTTAAAAAAGTTAATTGTTTCATGTTCCTGTGGTACAAACAGTACTAGTGTCACTAAAATATAATATGAATTTGTTTGGTGAAAAGAAACCATCATCACCTAATGGACGCTGTTCCAGTCCAGTCCACTAGGTGGTGCAGGTCAATCAGTGTCTCCATTATTTACAAGATATCATGTGTTTGTTTAACTATAAAAACTCAGATGTGAAATGAGTGACATCTGAAAGGGAAAGTGACAGGAATTTAATCCAGAAAGTGAAAATGGTTCCAGTGATGAAAGAACCCAGTCAGTGACTGGTACTGATGTGTAACTGTGTGTGTTGTGACCTACTGTTCTCATGCGACTGCACTGATTTAGGTGAGGCTTTTTTTAATCCACTCTTCAACTTCCTGTCACATGAGCCGGTTTAAACTGTAACATCTGAGCTCTGATGTGAACGTGTCTTTTTTAATAACTGTACTCATGTAAATACTAAATAAATAAATATATATTTACGCAGATGAATGTGTGGGATTCATTATACTATGAGGGAATTACTGGATTGTGTGGATGAGCCCAGGATCTGCTGATTCATGCCTGGCTTCTTGTGGTTGAACCCACAACCTGCTGGCTTGTGACTCATCACACATGAAATGATTCAGAGAAATTCTAAAGCCATGCTGAGTCAGCAGCATAGATTACTTGGATGATAATCCATCTTCTCAAAGTCAGTGTTCAGGTCCAAGTCCTGAACGTCAAACAGAGTTCTGGACCCGTTCTCCTACACTGACCGATAAATTGTGTGTCCAACACAGCAGTGATCTGACTAAAGTAAAGTCATGTGTTTCTTTGGTGTTTCATCCTTTTTTTAAACGTCACTCTATGTCTCCAACCCCCAGGGGGCAGCAGAGCAGCAGCCTCTGTGTCACTGTTAGCGGTGACACTGAACATTTGACAGTTTTACGATAAATAAATTAAATAGAAATACAAACTTTCTTACCTTAGGCTGACTTGAGTGTGGAGTTCTGGGTGAGTCAGCGGGGTGAGCCACTCGAACTGAGGACGTTTCTGTACAATATTTCACCTTCAAACCAACTAAGCTTTGACTGACTTCACATGCACATTCTCCTGCAGCTGATTACTGACCACGCCCACTACTTAAGCAGCTAATTAACGAGGCCCACTGTTGCAGACTGTTGTCAACCACACCCACGTCTGCTGCTGCTGCACTGGAAACGGAAACACTCTGCCTCTCTCTCTTTGTTTTGTCTAGATGATTAAAATATAATACATTTGTAAAATATTTTTATTATAACCTGCATAATGTTATATGTATATTTGTTTATTTTGTCCCTTTTTAGAAAAATTTAAATTTTTATTGTTAGGAAAAAAATAGTTGAATTGAAAATAATAATACTAATGAATTAATTAATTAATTAATCAAAAAATAAATAATAGATTTGCACCCCATAGATTTGCACAAACCAACAAACAGTTCAAACAGCAGAATCAGACAACAGTCCTAGACACGGTCAGGATCGTTGTGACCCCATTAAAGAAGTTCTGACGTCAGAGCGCCTCCTTCATACAGTACTTGGCACAAAGGCTGAAGAAAATGGTTGGAATGGGGGGAGGGAGGAGGGGTCATGTTCAAAAACCTCAGCCCCTGGAGAGAGTTCATCAGTGATGATGTGTCCAACTGTACCAGAGGACGTGTCCTTGGACCACTGCAGTGATTTAGGACCTGATGGTAAAACCAGCAGCTGAACTCTGAGACTAACAGAACTCAGATCTTTGTTTTCCTCTGGATTCAACTTCACATGATTCACATTATTCATTTGTTACATAACACACACACACAATTTCTTGTGCAGTCACGCTGCAATAGCTTTGAGCCAACTACAGGGGCCCGCCCCCCACTTTGAGAATCCAAGATAACAATGTTGGCGGTATTTCACTTATGTCCAAGTCAAATTTGAAGAAAACTGTAAAATAAAATGACATCACATCACAATAATCCCACACACACTTTGTCTTAACCCTGACTCTACCTCTAACCTTTAATCCAAATGGACTCTTCCACCTCGGGGTATTCACTCACTCAGTGAGTTTCTGCACAACTGCAGTATTTCATGCCCCAAAAATGACATTTTTGTTAAACCAGGGACTCACACACACTCACACACACACACTAATACACACAGATCAGAGCTGAAGGAATAAACATTTTTTAAGTGTGAGTTCAGCCTGTCCTTGTGAAAGGGTTTGGACGCTGACTTGTCAGTATGTGGTGGGCGTGTCACTGATTTATATGTGGTGAAAAACTCTGACTGATGATTCACTCGTCTGGATCCTTTCAGAGCCTGGAGATTTGTTGTTGTGGTTTTTTTTTAAGGTCCTGCATTGACTGATCGACTCCCTTACTAATGTGAAAACGTCCTGTTTGGTCGTCACCATGCAAACATTAGAGTGAACACAGAACCTTTACAACTGCTGCTGTCACTGTTATTTCCTCTGCAGTGTGTCCCTTGGAACCTTGTTCTCTTTAGCATAGTTAGACCCACAACTGGGTCGCCGGGGATTCTCACTGTGTTACTGTGTTAGAAATGAATGTGACCTTGATGTGACCCTGAACTGTTTGAATTTGCTGACCAAATTTTTCCATTCTTTCAAAAAGGATACTATAAAAGGGTCAAACACCTTCATTAACACTACTGTTAAATGTTGTTCAATTTAAGAAACGTAAAATCCAAGACAAGTTTCCAAAAAAAAATTTATTACCCTTTTTCTGAACAGAAAAGATAAAAAATATCTTTGAAATAAAAATACAGTAACTTTCTACAAGTGCTTTGTCAATAAACATGTGTAAAATGAGTATAAACTCAGACCATGATGGAAAAGTAAAACAAAAAACGAAAAATATAAAGTAAAATGCCAAAAATGTTCCGTTCACATCCTAGACCCCCTAGTGGCGAGTGTGTGTAATAGCACGATGAAGAAAATATGCTCCTGGACACTAACGCTCCCTCCCTACTGTTAACCAAGTTTTTCAGAGTCTCCTCGATTGGAGGAACCACTCAGAGCCAGCTGGGTATTGGTCCAGGTCACCGGAGACATCAAGGCTCGATCTCCTCGGGGACAATAGTTAGGATGACGTCCTCATTTCCTCTTCTCACTACAGTTCTCAGTGTGTCATCACGCTTTATGATGTTGCTGACGTCGGTGGCTGAGGTTATTGGCTCTCCATTTATGCTGATGATGATGTCACCTTCCTTTAGGCCCGCCCTAGAGCAAAAACATCACGCATAAATCATTTAACAATAATATTACCTGGCAGCGTAAAAACATTTGTCCCAGACCTTTGACTTTTTGGAAAATGTTACAAATGAATTTGTTGTTGGTTAAAGTGGAGTTCATGTCCAAGAACTTCTATCAGATGATGAATAAAGAAAACGTACTTTTCAGCCGGTGTGCGTTTGATGACCTCAAAGACGTAAGCTCCAGAGGAGAGATCAGGAAAGTCTGCCTGTCGCTCCTTCAGCTCTCTGCTCATGCTGAGAAAAACATAAATGAATAAAACCTAGGCAGAAATATAAGCAAAAATGCTACACTTTAGCCAAAAAGTAAATAAGTACACCAGGAAATGTTGGGCACATTGGCTAAGCTAAAGGCTTAGCATAAAGTCAGCCTGTAACTCATTAAAGATCAGTTACACTGTAGCAAAATTGAGTATTGGCATTTTGGAAACTTTGGTTGACGTGATTCAAACCCAGATCTGAACCGGGAACCTTTAAAAGAACGATGACAAAGTTCACCCAGTGAAAGGACCAGTTTTATGGATTCCCAGCTGCTGTGTTTCCAGGCGTTAGTGTCGTTGTCATAGATTCCTGTTTGAAACGGTCATTTGGTAGTGTTCTAAAGCTGAGGTCACTTCTCCAACACAATCACCGCCCTTCACTGGAGCCTCTCTTTTAGATGTAGGAACAACAAGATGAAGAACGTCATCTGAGTCGGACACTTACGTTGGGGTGAGACTCATCATCTTGACACCAATGTATTTCTTCTTTGGTGATGTTTGTCCTAAAAAAGAAAACTATTTTTTAAAAGTTCAAGTTAAAATATTTTTATTACTTTATTTCTTTCTATTACTAAACTGCAATTAATATCTCACACCAAAGTTCATAGAGAAAATCAATGATTTTAGCTCACAGGGACACAGGAGCTGCTGAGTCTGTTGCCTCGTGTGGTCATACTGTGACACTGACATAAAGGCATCCAGTGGATTTCAAACTCTAATCTTTTGAAACGACTAATAAAAGCAGCCGGTATTTGACCACCACTTGGTCCAATAGATTCAGAATGACTGGTTTTCTCTGTGGACTCAAGAATGTTAGAGCGTGTGGTTTACAAAATGTCAACTAAAACAAATCTGTGAGATAGATGTGTAAATGTATTTTTTAGATTTTCTTCACCTTTGACCATACGATCATGTGACTCCGTCAGAAACTCTCTGATCTTATCTGAAGGGATGGCAAAAGAGATCCCAGCCGTGACCTTCAGAGTGTTGATGCCGATGACCTCTCCGTCCTTAACACACACACAAACACAGGCAATCAAGAGTTCCTCGAATACATGATTTAACAAACATTTTTTTGTTTGTTAACAGTTTGTTTTTCACTCACCAGATTGACTAGTGGTCCTCCTGAGTTGCCATACTTCAGCAAAAAGAAATAAAATCACATAAACGTAGCATTACTTTATATATATATTTATATATTTCTAGACCAATACAAAGGAAAAACTAAATAAATACTTTTTAGGTTTCAGGATTTACTTGAAATGACCACTGAAGTCACATGACCACTGACAGACTCACATTGATGATGGCGTCCGTCTGAATGTATTCCATGTCGGAGTTTCGGAGGCCCAGTTCTTTTCCTCCCCTCTGGGTGGTGCTAACGATACCAGTGGTGACGGTGTTCTGCAGCGAGAAGGGGCTACCGATGGCAACCACAAACTCCCCGGGTCGAAGGTCGGCAGAGTGTCCGAGCTGCAGCACCGGAAGCTTCATCTATGTCAGGGAAACAAACCAACAGGGAGGTCAGCTGACCTGATCACCTGATGCTGGAATAACCAATCAGTAGACTGATGGATCAATCACCGGTGCATTGATCTTGATCAGAGCGATGTCGGCTTTCTCGTCCACGTCTCTGATCTTTGCATCAAATGTGGCTCCACTCTTCAGCTCCACCTGCAGGTCAAGGGATTAATTATCCATGAGTCCTCATTTTTCTTCTTCTTCTTCTTAATTCTAATTATTCCAGATTGCTTTCATTCTCAAAAAGTCTCTGTACACATGTGAAAGCCCCCCCTCCCCTCACTGCTCAGCCCACCCCACTCGCCTCCACACCTGGGTGAATGTTTAGAGTGGATTTCATATCTTCCCTCACCTTCACTCTGTGCTTATTGGCTACGACGTGAGCGTTGGTGACGATGAGTCCGTCCTCTGACACCACGAAGCCGGAGCCACTGGCCACAGCGACTTCACGCTTGGTAAAGATCATCCTGAGACGCCACGGCAGGGAAAAAACAGGAAATGAATCGATCTGGGATTTTACAGATTATTACTCGTGCAGTTCTTTCTTTCTTATTTGTGTCCATTGTTTTAATTAGCTGCTAAAATAGCAACAGCTGTGTACATGCATGTGAGTGTGCACGTGTCGCGTCTCTTACTTGCGGTACAGTTCAATGTGAACAACAGCTGGGGCGATTTTTTCCACCACATCAGCGATGAAGTTGTATTTGTAACGAAGGCTGTCGGGATTCTGTTGAACTGAAGGAAGGCACACACACACACACGGTCAGTGACACACACACACACACACACACACACGGTCAGTGACACACATGCACTCTCACGTGCACATGCACTAACTCACTGACTAATGGAGGGAACAGTCCAGGCTCTTACACCGTCGACCGTTGAATAGCAGTATCAGTGTGCATGTGTGTGTGTGTGTGTGTGTGTGTGTGTGTGTTGAACAGATCCAGATGTTCAACAGATAAGGAATGATGTGGGAGCAGCTGTTGATTGTCTGCAGCAGGAAGTGACTTGAGTCAGGATGAAAAACCTTTGTCAGGTTACATAACTCACCCCAAACATCCCCGCCTGTGACCCCATGACCCTGTGACCTTGACCCTGTCCCAGCTCTTCTGACTGTGTGCTGCAGTGTGAGTCAGTAAAATCATCTCTGGCCCGTGTTAGTGTAACTGTCCAACTGGACTCATGTGCACCGAGTCTCAAACTAAAACTTAATTATTTTCACCACGGAGATCAACCACTTCCTGTCTGCTCAGCTGCAGCTGTGTGTGTGTGTGTATGTGTGTGTGTTCATGGTGTGTGCAGCTCCAGTGAAAGGATCTGAATGAAGTCAGTCAGGTGACCAAAGAACCACGCTGCAGGTGTAAGAAACCACAGACCACACAAAGATGAATACGAGTTCACATGTGGACACTTTCACTGAGACTCTGTGTCCCTGAAGGCACCGTGGCAGCTGCAGGATGTGGAGGTTCCTGAGTCACTGAGTGAGAATGGTTAAAGAGCTATTAAACACAGAGACAAGTTCTCATTTTCATGGTTAAGTCAGAGAAGGTGAGTCAGCACTAAAATCCAGGTCAGCTCAGGTCGGCAGAAACTTTGGAAAATCCGTTCACCATTTTATTATTGTTGTGACACAGTCATAAGCAACAGAAACTAATGAGAGTGCTGCTGAAGCAAAGTCCATGGAAAAAAGTCAGTGATTTTAGCTCACAGTGACTAAAGAGCTGCTCGTGTAACACTGCTCCCTGTGGTCAGTTTGTGTCAAGGATTTCAAACACCAATACAATCAGAAAACAAAATTTCAGTTTTATGAATTAATCAAGTATTTTCCAACCTTCAACTTTAGGTACAGTGTAGACTTAATTATTTGTAGAATTTAAGGTCCATAGAGAAAATTGGTGATTTTAGCTCAAAGTGATAGAGGAGATGCTGGACCTCTGCTACCTCATGTGTTAGATTTGCAGTTTCTGTCAATAAGAATTTAAAAAACATTTGGACTTGCTGACAGTGGAGGGACTAACAACAGCAGTTCACTGGGAGGTAGAATCACTGATTTCCTACGTGGACTTTGGTGAAGAAGAGATCATGCACAACGTTATTACTTTTATGGGAAAAATACTTATTTTTTCAGTTGGAACTAAAAAAATTTTTTTCCTGCAGATCAAATCTCCAAAAACACATTTTCTGAGAAATCTCATCAGCAGCTGGACGAGTCTCAACGGGGAAAAATTCCTGACAGCACTGAGTCACTGCACTGCAACTGTGTTTTGTTGATACTGTATCTAAGTCTGCCATTCTGGGA